CTGGAAGAAGGCGCTGAGTGCTGTCTGTGGGGACAAGCTGTCAGCTCCAGCCCACCCGAGACAAAGGGGGAGGGATAACACGGGCCCCCCCAAAGCTCACCCCGCAGCCCCCGGCTCGCTCCCGTCCCGGGGGGCATCCAGGGGTGCCCCCAACCCCGCCAGGCCCGGGGGCTGCCCTTCACCCGACCCACTGGAGATCGTGTCCCCTACTCGCTCAGGGGCTCCCCACGCGAGGGGGGACACCCCAAAGCCCTGGTGTTTACAGCCCCCACCTCCCTCCCAGCGGCTCCCCCATCCCCGGATCGGAGCGCGAGGGAGGGGCCGGGGCGCTGGGCCGCAGCTCGGGTTACGGCCCGGGTATAAATAGACCCGCCGGAGCCCGGGGCCAATTCCACCCCCCGCCCCGGCGTGGGTGCCGGGGGGGCGGGCAGGACCCCCCAAAACCCGGCCACGCTCGTCGCTGGGCCGGGGCCGCAGAGGCCTGCCCCCACCCCCACCGCCTTCCGCCCCGCGGCTCCGCGGGCAGGCGGCCGTGCGGATCGGGACCCGGGGCGTCCCGCTTCGCGTGCGGCTTATCCCGATCCGAGCCGGCGGCGGCCCGTCCCGTACCTCGAACTGCCAGTGTGCCGCCTGCAGCAGCTGCTTGGCCTGGTCGGCGGCGCAGCCCGCCGCCAGCACGAACTGGTTGATCATCACCTGGTGCCGCAGTTCTTCCATGTTCACGGACATGGCGGGGCGGCCGCGGCCGTGGCCCTGGCCCTGGCCCTGGCCCTGGCCCTGGCCCTGGCCCTGGCCCCGGCCCCGGCCCCCGCCCCGGCCCCGGCCCCGGCCCCGGCCCCGGCCCCGGCCCCGGCCCGCACCGCCCGGAGCGCCCCGCGCCCGCCGCGCCCGCCGCGCTTCACCGGGGGGACGGGGGGGGCGCCGCTGGCCCCGCCCCCGCGCGCTGATTGGCTGCCGCCGCACCCCGCGCCCCGCCCACCACCGGCTTCGAACCTTCCAGCTGCCTCGGCGCCTCCCCATTGGCCGGCGCCTGTGTTTTGGCTGCAGGCTGCGCCGCGATTGGCTGAGGATGGCGGAGGCGGGGCCATGCGGGAGGGAGAAGGGGAGAACAGGACGCTGATTGGCTGTGCGGGGGTTTTTATCGTGCGGCGCTGGTGACGTCACGTTCATTGAGGAGGTTCATTGAGGACGCGCGGGAGGGGCCCATTGAGAGGGGTTCAGCTTGGGGGGCGCTCATTGAGCGGAGCTGGTAAAGGGGGGACATGGAGCGGGGGGACCATAGGGGGTTCACAGAGACGGGGACTCCGCCCATCTTTGGATACCCCTCTGGGGGCCGCTCCCGTGGGGGCTGCACCTTAAGCCCCTGCCTTGGCTCCCCCAGCCAGGCTGCCTCGTTCCCTTAGCAAGGCTCCTCTTTCCCCTCAGCAGAGCTCTCCCAGCACTCCATCCTCCTTACTGTTGCCCCCTCGGGGGGATTCCCCCTTAACCCCCCGTCTTGACTCCTCCAGCAAGGCTCTCCCAGAGCCACTCTCCCATCTGGAACCGTTTACCTTGGGGATGGAGCCCTAACCAGATGCCAGGGGCAGGAGCAGGGACCCATGCCCTTCATCCTCACACCCATCATCCCCATGCCCTTCCCATGTAAAGGCTACGGGGTTCGGGGCAGCTCCCAGTTTGGGGTGGGGTTTGGGATTTTTTGTTAACGGTTAAAATCATGATGACTCTGAACTCCAGTCTCAGCCTGGAAGGATGAGCTCTCTTCTGGTGTGCTTCCCTCGCACCACATTTGGGGACCTGAGTAGGACTTGTGCAATTTGTGCCTTGAAGTGTTTCAATTAAAAAGGGAAAATTGGCATTTAAACCCCAAACGAATAAAGAAGGGACTTTGCAAATCCATGGTGTGCAGATAGGTTGATCTGGGAAGAGCCACTGGAGACTTGGATGTGGCAGTGGTGACCAGCTGGCCAGGGGAGAGGGAATGAGGAGGCAGAGGGATGGAAACTTGAAGCTGCATCTGCAGATGATTGCCCCCAGCAGTGAAGACCTCTGTGGGGCTTCTGCAAAGTCCTGGTGGTCCCATGGAGGTGAGGTCAGCAATGCCAGTGTGTGGTTGCCCAGGCTGGATATCCTCCGGGGATACTCAGGGGCATCCCATCACTGGGATTCAGCGATGGGCATCGAGGGTCCTGCTTGCCCAATAAGATTTTGGTAGCTTTGTCTTCTTGGAGCAAAACCAGCCTTGAGGCAGGTTGAGGTGTGAGAGGAGCAATTTCAGATGCAGGGATCCCAGACCCACCTGCACACAGCCTTGGCGAGCTCTCAGAACCTCCTGCTTGCCAAAGCCACCCACTCACGTGCACAGCACAGCTTTGAGCTGGGAGCAGCCAGCCCCAGGTAGTGCCAGCCTGGGAAACCAGTGGGAACGCAGCTCATGGGCCCTTGGCACCCAAAGCTGTGACAGAATAGTGTTGGTGACATTTGGAGAAGTCAGCAGGACTGTGAGTTCTTCCAAATTAACCCCTTTTTGGGGCAGGATTCGCTGTCACCTCTCCATGCTGAGATGCTCTTCCAGATGTGCTGCCCTGACGCCCCGCTGGGACCCTGGGGATCACCCTGCAGGCAGGGGTGGGCTCCCAGCACCTTCCCAGGCAGGGGCTGGGGAGCCCTCAGCAGGGCTGAAGGGTCACCCCCTCCCCAGCCATTGCCACCGTGAGCTGCACAGAGCAGAGCCAGCCCAGAAGGAAAGGGGCTGGCAGCTCCAGTTTGTGCCAGTGACTGCTGGGGGAGCTGGGAATGGACTGGGCGTACAGACAAACGTTTTCCGCTGTGGGTGAGCTGCACACCCTCCTGTTATAACATTAACTGCTGTGCTCTACCGTGACTCAGTTTCCCTCTCAGCACAAGGAGACAGGATCCTCTCTCTGTGCCAAACACACGTGTGAAATCCCACAGCCAGGCAGCACGAGCTTCAGACTTGCATCTTGCCCAGCAGCACGTGCATTTTGGATTTAAACGTTGCACTTTTCCTGGATGCCCCCTCCGGGTCAGCCCTGCTGAGGTTTCTCCTGGCTTTGTGCGTGCTGGGATGTGCAGCTGGGCAGAACTGGGAGGGCCCCTGCCCTCGGAGCCGTATCGTCACCCAGCTCCTGCCAGCGCTCCACTGCGGCACTGTCCTACAAAATCCTCTGCTGCAGTAATCGCAGGGAAAAAAACCACGAGCCGTGCATGCAGGCAGCAGCTCTGCGCGTAATGACTGCCGGGTTATGGATCTGCACGGGGATAACTTTGAATTATTATCTACACTAAAACCCTGCAGTCTGCTGTGTGCTGGTAATGAAATGTGCTGGCTCCCTCTCCCAGTTTCCTGCTGCCGGTGCTGGCTGGAGGGAGGCAGGGGAGCGGGGCTGTGCTAAATTTTTAAATTTTATCCATGTGTAGAACAGGATCCCCAAGAATGTGTGTTGGGATGAACGGGGATCAGTTCCTGGGGTCTCGGGGCTCCCAGCTGGGCACCAGCCCTGAGAGCTGGAGCAGGCTCTCGGTGTGGATGTTGCCCTCAGCTCCTCCTAGAATCATTTGGGTTGGAAAAGACCTTTAAGATGATGGAGTCTGAATCCTCCTCTTCAGCCGGTGCTCCCGCTGGCAGCCAGCCCAGGTGTGACATCCAGCAGCGTGGACGTGGTGTCACTGCTGGGAATGTGGGTCCCGGTGTGACTGTGGCAGGCTGAGAAACAGGATACAAAGCCACCCCTGCTGCTCTTTGATTTAGCTTTTCTCAGCTGCCTTTGGGGCTTGTGAGGGTAGGAAGAAGTCAGGAGAGGGGTCCATGCGTCCCTCTGCAGGGAGGGGATGAAGGGGGGAGCCCCAGGAACGGCCTTTGATCGTCACCACTGAGTAGCCGAGGACATCAGGGCAGCTGATCCGCCTCCCTGCACATCTCCCGTTTGATATTTATAGCACTCGTGTTATCAACTCAAATCAAAATCATGTGATCCTCCACTAACTGGCGCTGCCGGACTAATTAATCACCGGCTGGTTTAAGTGAGCGGTCAAAGCGTCCATCCCTCCTCTTTGGTCCAAGAGGAAAATCAGTAGGTGACCAGTGCTTCCCAATATAAGGCTGGGGGAACTGGGGGAATCTCTTGGGGTGCACTGGAGCAGGCAGGCAGCTCCCTGCCTCCAGATGCCCAGTGCATGCAGCTGCTCCTGGTGTGGAGCGGAGCTGGGAAGGCAGGATGGGGATGACGAAGATGGGGATGATGAAGATGTGCACTGGAGGGGGGTTTAACCTGGCTCCTCCCCAGCGCTGCGCACCGCTGAGGTGCTGCTGGAGGGGGTCAGTCCCTGTGCCAGCAGCTGCACAAAATCCTTCCCTTTATAACCGGGAAAAGTGGGGTTGTTCTCCTCCCAGGCGACACGCTGGCGGCAGGGGGTGCAGGGACAGAGGGGCCATGCCCAGCCTGCCCCTGGGGGTCCCTGAGCTGGAATTGCTGCTCGGTGCCACCCAGCTGGTGGGGCTGGGGGCAAGGATGGAAGGAGGGAGGGCCGTGGTGGACAGAAGTCACTGGGGAGTGGCTGAGAGTGGCAGATGATGGCCAAGAGGGCCGCTGAGCGGTACCGGAGGCAACTGAGCGACACGGGGGATGGCGGGTGGGTGGCACTGTGAGCACGCGTGTGCCACCGCGGGGGGACAGGTAAGTGGCACCTGAGGAGGGACACTTCACCGGGGCAGGGCGGCACGGGAAGGCAGCGGTAGCATCTCTCTCCTCGCCGCGCTGGACCGAGCCGGGGCGGGTCGGGGCGTCCCAGCCGATGCCGGCCCCGCCCCGAATGTCGCAGCCCCGCGGTGCCGCGGAGGCGGCGCCGGGCGCGGCGCAGAGCGAGCGGAGGATGCTGCGGGCGGGGGCCGCCGCCAGTCCCGGTCCCGGCCCCCGTCCCGGTCCCGGTCCCGGGCGGGAGCACTCCCCGCCGCCCCCAGCCCGCTGAGCCCCGGCCCGGCCATGGGGGCTCTGACCAGCCGGCAGAACGCAGGGGTGGAGGAAGTGGATATCCCCGCTAATTCCGTCTACAGATACCCCCCGAAATCCGGTGAGCTCCCGGGGGGCCTCGCGTCCCGGTGCCGCCGATGGGGAGGGAAAGAGAGGAGCGAGTCGGGCGGGCACCGGGCACGACCTTGCTCCGGGCGGGGGTGACCCTGCGCACCCCAAAGCAAGCGCTGACGCACAGGGGGAGCACCCTAAAAATCTGGGTCTGCTGCGGGACACCCTGCGTGAGTGCGGCGCGGGAGGGATGGGGGTCACTCCTCTCCGGGCACCCCTTTGCCAGCGCACCCCGCTTCCCAAACTTGGCTGAGTTGACGCGACTTTAATGACATTATTGTTATAATTATTTCTGTAGCCGTGGTCTGCGGCACCGGGCTCCGGAGGCGATTTTTATAGCCGGTTGCTCCGGTGCTGCCTGCTCGGGAAAATCCTGGTTTTAAATTCCCGGGAGGATGAGGGAGGCTGGGGTGGGAGGGATTGGAGGGGATCCCTCCTTCCCAGTGCTCTGCCCCATCGTAGCACCCCAGCCCCTGCCGTGGGCAGCCTGCGCCTTCCCGGCTCCTCTCCGTGCCTCGAGGCTGGCTGGTGATGCATCTCCCGCTCCCCAATCCGGCCCTGTCTCAAACCTTGTGCGTGACCTTGGAAAATCCGCCTCTGTGCCTCACTTTTCCCTGCCAGGGCCGGGCTGAGCGGGTGTCCGAGGGGGGCAGGCTGGGGAGGGAGGGGTGCTGGGGTCCAGCCCTTGGCGCTTCAGAGCCGCAGAAATTCCGGCGCCGGTGGGTGATGCCCCGGAGCACCGTGCGTGCATGTGAGGAGATTGCACAGGATCCTTGCAGCACTAAATATTATTAATAGGTAACTATTTTGGTAGTTAATAGGATAAGGTAAACGCTCGGATCGTTAGTGCTGTGACAAATTACTTGCTAATTACAACTAAAGACCTCCTTAGGAAGAATTACAGCCAACACAAACGCTATGCTTGTCCTGAAAAGCCGTGTTTGGCTTTTTTTTTTTTTTTTTTACTTTTAATCTAAAATAGGTTGCACAGCTGGCTGGAGATGGCTGATCCTTGACAGCCTGGCCTCCTGCAGGGCTCCCCCTGCTCCCCTTTTTACATGGTTTCAAGGCCTCTGTCACTTTGATGCCAGGTGAGGCTGGACCAGCCCATCCATGGATTGCTCTTTGTAGGGACGGTGTTTCCATGCATTACAACCTTTTCCCTTGAGATCCCATCTTATTTAGGGGCTCTTGGAATATCTGGGTACGAAGGGGTGGAGGGTGTAAGAGCACTTCCAAAGCCCTCTCAGCTGACAGAGGTCACCAGGCTGATGCTTAACTCCGGCTTTCAGGGAGAGCCTGGGGCTCCTGGCTGTGCTCAGCTGGCCTGATCCCACTGCTGGGGTCTGGGCAGAGCTGGGGGATGGTCCTGGTGCTGCCCAGGGTCCTCAGGAGAGGGGCGGGAGGTGCCCAGGTGACACAGCCATCTGCACTGAGACAAGGGCAGGCTGGTGGCCCTGGGGGATTATGGCTGGTTTGCCTCTAATCCGAGTGGGATTTGCCTTCAGCGCTGCTGGCAGCCGAGGGAGGACGTGCCAGGCAGCAGAGCTGAGTCCTCTGTGGCAGCAGCGCTTCCCCCACCTCAAAAACCACCTGGAAACAGCCACTGGCTTTGGAAATGTGGCCCTGGAGGGGAATCTCATGGGACCTTGGGGCATTTCCCTCTCTCTGCAGATGTGGCTTTGGCTGTTGGGCTGTAGGCTCTCTCGGGATGGCCAGTGGGAATTGGGCAGCTGTGTCTTATCCCAGCTGAGCATCTCCCCATCCTGGGAGTCCCATCCCCTCCAGGTGAGATCTCAATGGGATTAGTTAAACCATAATTTTTGAAACAAAGTCTGAGATTTACTTCCATGGCTGCCACTGGGAGGGAGAGCCAGCGGGGGCTGTAGATGGAGCCCACTGCCTGGCTACTGGGATGGCTTTTGGGGCCAGCTTTCAGCCCCTGTCCCCAGCTGAGGTTGGCACTGAGCTCTCCCAGGGCACACAGGACTGTGAGCAGGGCCCTGGCAGCGGGCAGGAGCACAGGGGTTAATCCAGCAGTGACACCCCCAGTCCTGGGGCACAATCCCAGCTGGTGGCAGAGCCACGGCAGGCGAGGGCTGACGCAGCAGTGCTGTGGACAGGGTTTGGCATCAGCTCCGGCTGCTGCTGGCTCTGGCTGCCCACTTTAGAGCATGGAATTAAATAATGGGCTGCCCAGGGGCAGAAGCACCCAGAGCCTTTAACCAGCCCACCACAGCACCCTGTGCTGGCACCCGTGGCCGCAGGGTGTCCCTGTGCCAGCGCTGTGCCACCCGCCCGGGCTGACCACAGCCTGTGCAATCCCAGTGCTCCCCTCACCAGAGTGTGTGGACTAGCTGGGAATGAGCTTTTCTGTTTCAGCAGCTTTGGAGAGTGAGGCTGTAACGTTGGAGAGCCAGAGGCTGCAGTAGCAGAGCCCGGCAGGGCAGTGATGGCTTGGGGCACGGTGCAGGACGTGTCACTGCACACCAGAGCACAGCACACACGAGGGTCCTCACCCTCCTCTGCCTCCTGGACAAGGCAGCATCGTGGGGAAAAGGAGCTGACAGCTGGTGCCAGATGTGTGCTGCTACCAGCAGATGTGCAGGACACAATGACTTCTTTTTTCGCTGGGAACCTCAGGCAATTTGGGTTTATTCCCCTTTTCCAGCAGCTGCTCGTGCAGCCCTTCCCAAGCTGTGGCTGTGCTTGACTGGCTCTGCTTCCCCAGGAGTGGGTGTGGGATTTACAGTCAGCCCATAATGAGGTGGCTGAGGCTGGGAAGGTTCTTTCCTGCTCTGCCCCCCGGCCATGTCCAGGGAGTCACCGGCACCTCCTGCCAACGCCCTGGGCTTTCCTGGGCTGCTGCTTCCCTGGAAAACCTGGCTCAACTCACGCCTCTGTTTAACAGCAAGGAGGACCTTTCCTTGGAGGGAGCACAGAGCTGGTTCTGCCTGCTGGCAAGAGGGACTTGAAGCCTCTGGGGGATATGCTGGAGCCTGCAGCTCCCAGGGATACTCCTGGGAGGGAGACTGGGTGATGGCAGCACGGTCCTCACCTGCTCTGCCCATCCTGCAGGAGCCCCCACCATGCACTAAACTATGGCTGGGCAAATCACAAAGAGCCTGTGCTCCATTTTCCAGCTTTTTCTTAGTGCTGGGGTGGCTTTTCTCCATGTTTAAATGCAATTTTTTTGCCATCTCCTTCTCTTGCTCCAAGTCAGTGTCAGGAAAAGCTTTGGATGGCCCCATTCTCCCCTGGCTGTGCTGTTGCAGGCAGCTCTGAAGGCACTTTGCTCTTGGGTTTTTTTTTTTCCACGTGGCTGAGTCCTTCCAGGCGAGCTGCCTATAAATTATGTACATGGAAAATGGGACCTGAAAGCAGCAGGCATCAATAATAGATGGTCGACGTTTGCTAACGGGCTCGCTGCATTTGGGCATCCCTGTGCCATGGGGCCTCGGGGCAGAGCTGTGTGACCCACTCATCCCTCCCAGCCTGGAGTTACATCCCCCCTACTCCTCCCCTTGGGCTTTGGGCTCTGTTCTGGGTTTCAGTGCAGTATTAAAGCCTGATCCAGCCCTGGACAGCCCGTGCCTCTGTTGGAAGCTGATTGCAAGTTCTGACCTCAGTACCCACAAGCAGAGCTGCTGCTCAGGCTTAAGCTCCTTTATCTGTGGTCTCCAAATGTTTGGTTTTGGGGTGTCCCCTGGGAGGGGTGCAGATGGATCTGTACTGGTGGGTTTGGAGTTTTTATAAGCCAAACCCTGTCCCTGTGGCTGTCAGGATTCAGGACTCTCTGTCCATGTCTGACTGAATCCTGGTGCTTCTGCTCACCCCATACTGCTGCCCCATCCCTGTCCACCTTTCCCTTTTCTCCCAACCCTCCTGCCTGTGCCACAACATGCTTTCCCCACACAGCCCAGATCTCACAGGCAAGGACCAGGCACCACTTGTCTCCTGGCCAGGCTGGAGGAAATTCTCCTCTAGTGGAGACGTGCCTGACCTGGGGGCTGCTCCCAGCTCAGGGCTGGGACATTTGGTGTTTTGGCTCTGTGAGGGAAGAAGGGACCCAGGTCATTGACCCAGCGTTCATCAGGGCAATGTGGAGCACTCTGCAGGGCAGGTGCTGAGCTCCTGAAGGATCTACAGGACCCCAAAATCCTGATTCCTGCAGGAGAGCCCTTCCTAGGGAGGGGCTGCAGGCTGAGAACTGACAGAACTGGGTTCAGCTGCGTTCCTGGTGGCAGCTACAGCCAATCTGGGCAGTGTCTGGCTGTGGACACGCTGCCTTGGGTGGCACACGAGGTCTGTGCCATCAGGCTCTGGGCAGGAGCAGCCCTGTTTTGAGGGCTGTATGCCGGGTCCGTGCTGCCCTTCCCCGCAGCATCCCCAGGGATGTGGGGGCCAGCCTGGCTCCTCCGGGGCTCGCAGGGCTCTCTGGCAGGTCAGGCTGTGCCTCTGCCTCTCCCGCCTCCTCGGGACATGAGCTGCTGCTTATGGGCAGGATTAGCTCTGCTCTGCCGCCCCAGGAGCCGTCTCCTCTTCCTCCTCACGGACCAGGATGCGGCTGCTCCTGCCAGTGCGGGGATGGCTGAAGGTCAGGGTGACCTTGGGTGGCTCAGGCCATACTGGGGCTCACAGGGATTTCCCAGACAGGGAAAGGGGACCGGGCACTATTAAATCCCATGGATGGAGCAGCCCCCAGGGCCAGCACTGCCGTGGGGCTGGACCCCTGCATCAGCCTCTCCCCATCCCGGCTCTGCGTGCCCAGGCTTGGACCGCGGTGCTGAAGCGGGTGGGATGCAGGAAGAGGGGAGGGCGGGCAGGGAGTGAGGCTTCTTGGCAGCCTCTGCCTGCCTGGGAGCTCTCAGCGTGTGAGCTCAACCAGAAAGGCTCCCAGCAAGGTGACCCTGGGGACAAAGTCACCTCCGAGCCATCGATCCGGTGGCTTTGTGCCGCTCCATCCCCCGGCAGGAGCCCCCTCCTCCCGCTCCGCTCAGGAGCTCTCTGTTCTCATTTCAGGGAGTTACTTTGCCAACCACTTCATCATGGGCGGGGAGAAGTTCGACTCCACGCACCCCGAGGGGTACCTCTTCGGCGAGAACAGCGACCTCAACTTCCTGGGGAACCGGCCCGTGGTGGTGGGTACCGGGGACCCGGGGCTGGGGGGCTCCGGAGCACAGGCACCCCCTTCCCAAACCTCTGCTGGCCGTGTGTGCCACGGGGTGTGCGGGACAAGGCTGCTGGCTGTCCCCCTCCACGGGCACAGCCAGCCAAGCCTGCCTGGAGCGGGCTGAGTGGATCCTCTGGTGGCTCATCCAAGGTTTGGGTTCCTGCTGCAGCCTGTCCTCTATCCGGGACTAATGGTGAACGGGAATTGGGTTGATTTAATCCAACTTCTTTCTCGTTCCCTCTTCAAGAGCTGCGTTTTCTCTTGCCTTCCCCATGTCATCCAGGAGCTATATCCCAGACAGGAGGGCCCATGTTGGGGGGTGTAACACAGAGGTGCTGGTGTGGTTCAGGGTAGTAGAGCAGCTTGGACAGGAACAGATGAAATTACTCCCCAAGCTCTAGCAAGAAAGGGAAAGAAATAAAATAAAAGTAAAAAGGCAGGGGTAAGTCGGGGCTGGGGACAGCATGGATGGGTTTTGCAGTGCTGGGTGCTGCCAGCTCCAACTGGTCTCAGGGCACAAGGGAACCTGGCTGGAGGGGGGTCCCTACACCCCAGGCTCCTGGAGGTGGTTTTTGTGCTTGCTGCCTTGGGAAAGGGAGGAAATGAGAGCAGGGGTTCAGCCTGGGAGTGATGTCCCCCTCTCATCTGGGTGTCTCTCAGCAGTGGGACAACTCACCAACACTGGCTGGAGGAGTTTGGGAGGTCAAATATTCAAAAGATTCAGGGTGAGGACTTAAAGGTCATCAAAGCTTTTCTGTTAAGTCGAGATAAACTTGCCTGGTGCTTTAGCCCAGCTCTCAAGCATTGCCTGCTGCCAGCAGGGTTCCTGTTTCCTCCTTGCCATTGGCTTTGGTGGTGTTTTGGCAGCATCATGTGGTCCCTCAGAGGGGAAGTGTCCAGCCCTGGGCTGTGCCAGAGCAGGGATCCCAGCAGAGCCAAGGCTGGGATCACCCACAAAGCACATGAATACAGGGTGGCCAAGGACTGTGCCTTTCTCTCCAGCCCCTCTGCTTCCCTGGAAAATGAGAAGTCAGCGCTCAGGGTCCTCCAGCAGCGTGTTGAGAAATCCTCTTGATTACAGTAAAAGCCTCTAAACTGCCCAGTGAGCAGTTCCCATGTCAGCAGCCCTGACAGCAGAGCAGCAGGGAAGGCAAAGGAACAGCTTGGAAACAGCAGAGAGAATTAATACAGCATCATGAGCTAAATTGTTTTGCTCCGGTTTAATTACCGATGGCTCTGGGCTGCAGAGCTGTGACCAAGATCCCGACTCCCTGGGGAGCAGGGGGAGTTCTGGGGCTGGACTTCTGGGTCAGGACAGTTTTGGGGGCTCAGGGAGGAGTTGGGGAGGTTCTGTGCTGGTTCTGGTCCAAGCTTGTGTCCAGGCAACACTTGGGCCTCCGCCTCCAAGTCCTGTCCTGATGCTTCTTGGCTGCGAGACTTTTGCTTTCTGGCCTTCTGTGAAAGCCCTGGTTGGGCTGGAAACATTAAAGATGACCACTGCTTTTTGGTGGGGGATTAATTTTGAGTTCCTTGGGGATCAAGGGCCTGGATATTTTAGAAGAATTGTGTCCCAAGTCCTCTGTGAGTAGAGCGCTTGTTCTGAGCTATGAACAGCACTGCTGCCACAGGGATGTGCAGGGCAGCCAGAGGCTGTGCAGGTTCTCCCCTCTGTGGATACATGATAATCTGGATTTTCCAGCTGGGAACAGGTTCCCAAGGGGCTGGGAAGGGCGTTGCAGGTTTAAATAGCTGCCACCATGCAGGGGCAGAGGAGCAGAGAAGCTGCTGGAGGCACTCCAAGAGCACAGGGTAAGCTGGGAACTGTTGAAATGTGCCACTGGGTTTCCCTGCCCACGCAGAGCTGCTGGGGTTTGCTTGTAGAAAAACCCCAAGACAGACTTTTGAGGATGTTTTTTATTTCACTTTAACAGAAGCTGGCCTGCACCAAATGTTGCTATAGGCACATGGATGACATTCTTAACTTCACCGCAACTGTTACCCATTTTTTTCTGTTGTGTTTCAGCGTGGTTTAAAGTGAGGAGATGTAAAACGTCCTCTGAATAGCCTCTTTCTGATGTGCAAAATCTGGCTTGTAAAATTTAATTTGAAAGAAAAAACCAAACAACCACCCCCAAAAAGCGCTTTTCACACGTGGGAGAGCCCGAAGTGGTTTCTGCAGCACAGAATTTGCCTGCAGCACTTCCCCATCCTGCCCAGCCCAACGGCCCCTGTGGGTGGCACCCAGGGGACCTGGCTGCCCCTTCCCTTCTCTGTCACCCACCCCTGCAGCAGGAGGGGGGTGCACCCATGGGTGCTTTCCCTGCCAGGGCTGGTTTGAGTAAGGTGCAAACAAGCAATTTTGGATGACTGCATTAGTTTGAATTACAGGGGATGTATCACGACATGGCACAACATGTCATGACGTGGCTCAGCTTCAGCCTGGAGCGTGTTCTCACTCTCTCCCCTCCAGCTGCAATGGGTGACTCTGCAGGTGCTCGATTCTGCAGGTGCACATTTGGTGACTCATAGAAAAGATCGTTAACAGCACTTTAATGACTCTGCTGCCCTTTTCTCCTCCTGGAGAGGACGAGAGCAGTGGGACCCAGTTCCACAGTGCTGGGAATTCATCTCCAAAGCCTTTGATGCCATCAGCCAAGCTGTGTCCAGCCTAGGCTTTAATCTGCCTTTAGTGGCACCCGTGGGATCAGGGCTGTGGCATAGCTGGCCGTGGTGATGGTGGAGCAGGGATGGGACAGAGCTGTGCCTGCACTGAGGGCTTCTGCCTGTCCCATCCTGAGCCCAGCACGGGTCCCCCAGCCACATCCATCCTGCTCTGCAGGGCTTTGGGGATGGGAAAGGTGATGATGGCTTTGAGGACAGGTTGGGTTAGGTGGTTGTCCCCTGTGAGAGCACCAAGGACATGAGGAACTGGCATCTGGCTCCCTGCAGGGCATCCCCAAGGGCCACCTGCAATTCGGTCTTGTCCCTTTGGTACTGGGGTGGGTGCCTCAGTGAGGGACAATGGGACACTGTTCCCTCTCCAGAGGCAGCAGTTGAGGCTCTTTGACCACCCCTGATGGCACTTGACACCCTCCTGGCTCTGGCTGTCCCTTGGCACACGGTGACAGCTTGCCAACGAGCTGGGCCTTAGGGCTGATCCCTCCTGGAGCTAAACCTACCTGGGAGATGGAGAGGGGGGAGGTGGGTCCTGCATCCCTTCCTCACTGCCCTCAGTCTCCTTTGGGTGACTGCAGTGCCAAGGAGAGGGTGTCCCCTGGGTGCCACCACGTCCCCTCTCCCCAGGGAGCCCTGCAGCCCTTGCCAAGACAGGACTGGCAAGGACAATGTCAGCTTGGAGGAGGGATGCTGCTGCCTGCCTGCTCCTGCCCAGACATCTTGCTGGCTCTCTGCTCTGGACACGGGGCTGGGATCCCACCACCCAAATCCCGTCCACCACAGGGAGGAAACAGGGACGCTTGTGCCTGTTTTTTCTCAGCTGGTGGGCAGGGAGAGAGCTTCAGCCTCTCTCTGCCAAGCCTCATCCAACAACATAAAAATCCATCAGCAGCTGCCTGCCCCGTGCCCCACATCCCCCTCACCCTCCAGCTGAAGGGACAAGGAACAGCCCCTCCGTGTGTCCCCTCCCCAGTGAAACTGTCCCTGCTGTCCCGGGCTTGCTGGTTGAGGAGGGACATCCCTGCTGCCTGGTACCCAACGCCAGCAGGAGCTGCAGGTGCTCAGCACCCATCAGGTTGCCCAGGCCACCCCAATTCCCTCTCTGGGGTGTTGGGTTTGGGTCACGGGGGGGTTCCACAGCCACCAGAGTCCCCCTGTGTGCGTCTGCCTTCACCGCTGTCTCTCTCGTCCTAGTTCCCTTACGCTGCTCCACCTCCTCAGGAACCCGTGAAGACCCTCAGGAGCTTAATCAATATCCGCAAGGACACCCTGCGCCTGGTGAAGTGAGTGTCCTGAGCCCTGAGCCGGGGAGGGAGGTGCTGCTGGGTGCTCCAGGGACGGTGGGCACGGGGCTGCTCTCGCTCCGGCACCTGCGGGTGGAGGGATGAGCCGCCCTTCCCCTCCTGGCACAGGCTCTGCCGCAGGATTAAAGGAGTTTAGCGCTGCCTTTGAAGTTCTTTGCTGCTTCTTCCTCCCCCACCTTCCGAAGGCTTTGCTGGAGGGAGGCTGGGGATTGCGGCAGGGCGATTCGGGAGGTTCGGGATTATGGTTGGAATCTGTCTGCGGCGCTTCCCAGCCCGCAGGAGTGACCTTGGGCATGCCAGGCACTCTTGTTGTGCCTCAGTGTCCCCTGATGGAGGGCAGCAGCCCCTTTTGGTGCCAAGGGGATTAGTCCTGGAGCACCCCAAGGTGGACCCTCTGTGCTCCCCAGGTGCTCAGAGGAGGTGAAGACCCCGGGGGAAGAAGTGAGCAAAGCCAAGGTGCACTACAACGTGGAGTTCACCTTCGACACCGACGCCCGCGTGGCCATAACCATCTACTACCAGGCAACCGAGGAGTTTCACAATGGGGTGGCGAGGTGAGGGGTCCCAGCCAGGCCTGTGTCACCCCCCCAGCCAGGCCTGTGTCCCCCCAAGCTTGGTGTGTGTCCCTGGCTGGTGGACGTGGAGCGTCGCCCCCTGAGCATCTTTCCTCTTCAGGACAGGGAACAGCTGAGGGTGGTGCTGACATTGGAGGGGGGCTCCTTGTTTCCCCCAAGTGCCACCACCGGCTCTTTGCCAACCCCTGCCACCTCATTCCCTGTCACATCCTGCTCCCTCTTTTTACCCTCAGGTCACAATGGAGACCAGGGAAATAATTCTTCCCCCCAAACCCCTCCAGGTTGGATGTGGAGTTGTCCCTGTCCCCTCCCATGCTGTGCTGGCTGCCCTGTGTTTACTTTACCCTGTGGATTATTTTAGCCCTTTTTACACCTTCATACCTCAGCCCCAAGAGGCATCTGGGAAGGGAGGAGTGACACACACACCCCCTCCCATTTTCCTGGCATCTCGGTGATCTGGGGAGAGCAGGAGGAGCGTGGGGACAGCCGTGGTGCCCTGACTCTGTCCTCTCCCCACGGGACAGCTACACCCCCAGGGACAACAGCCTGCAGTCGGAGACGGTGCACTACAAGCGGGGGGTGTGCCAGCAGTTCTGTGTGCCCTCCCACACCATCGACCCCTCCGAGTGGAGCGAGGAGGAGGTGGGTGCCCCCAGCCCCGACATCATCCCATGGAGATGGAGGTGGGATGAAGCCTCAGCGCTGCTCCATCTCACCAAGCCCGCCCTGTCTCTCTCCAGCTGGGCTTTGACCTGGACCGTGAGGTTTATCCCATGGTGGTGCAGGCAGTGGTGGATGAAGGAGAGGGTGAGGAGGGGGTTCCTTGCTGGGATGGCCTTTCCCAGTTTGCTGGCATTGTGATGCCAGCTGGGCAGAGCCTCCTGCGTTTCCTCACTGCTGCCGTGGCTCTGCCCATGCCCCTGCACGTCCCCTGACCCCTGCGTGTTCCTTTGTGTCTTGCAGAGCACAGTGGGCACTGCCACGTGCTGCTGGCCACCTTTGAGAAGGTAAGTGCCAAGCTGGGGCCATCCTCCCCCTCCTGCCTTCATCACCCACCAGGTACAAGAGCCTGGAGAATCCCTGGGAATCGGGTGTTGCTGGGCTGGGGATGTTTTGGGCAGCTCCTCAAATCCTGGGATCATTCCCTCATTTTAAGTACCCACTTCTAAGGCATTTGGGCTCAATTCCCTCTTCCTTCCTCCAACAAGTCTCCAGCTTTGCAATGTGTGTGACCTCCCAGAGCTACCTGGTGCTGGGCTGCCAGGAAAAGCCAGAATTCCTGCAGAATGGGCTTGTTGGGAGCGGGGAGGGAGCAGTGACAGCCACAGGTTGGGTGGGTGCTCTAGCACAGCAGCCCAGGGCTGCCCACCCATGTGCTCCTTCCTCCCCCCAGCACAGTGATGGCACCTTCTGCGTGAAGCCCCTCAAGCAGAAGCAGGTGGTGAGTGTTGGGGTGTCCCTGAGTTACAGATGGCCCTGCACACCCTGCAGGGAAACCACTGAGGGGTTTTGGGGAGCCCCAAAAGCCCTAAGCCTCTTCCAGCCTTGCCCCTGCCTCCCAGGGAGTGCAATTTTGAGGTTATCAGTGCAAAGGGAACCCCTGGATGTTGGGGAGGAGGAGGGCTGGCCCAAGCAGGGGGCTGGGAGCCACAGGGGCTCTGGGCAAGGTGTCTCTGCTCCTTACCCCTTCCCCATGGGATTGCAGGTGGATGGTGTGAGCTACCTCCTGCAGGAGATCTACGGCATCGAGAACAAGTACAACACACAGGACTCCAAGGTGTGTGCCTGCATCCCCCTGCCTGCATCCCAGGGGTCTTCCCTCATCCCTTCTTCCCTTCCCCTAGCCCAGCTCTGGCCACTGAAACACGCTCAGGGCAAGAGTTTGCAGCACAGCACGGAGCTGGTGATGGCTGGGGACACTCTGTGTTGGCATCGAAGCTGCTGGAGGCAGAAAAGTGAAGGATTGAGCTTTCCCCCCATCCTCTGTGGTCCTTTGAGGGAAGGGTGGTGGCTTAGATGTGGAGCATCAGGCTCAAGGCACGGGATGTGCCTTATGCTCTGCTCTAATAGGTGAAAACTGGGGTGAAAGTTTGGGTTTCTCTTTCCTTTGGCCTCACCTCCCAGCCTCCTGGAGGAGAGGAACGTGGTCCCAGGGGGTGCATTTCAAGAGCAGGCAGCCCATGGACACAGGCAGAACTCTCCCTGAGCACCCAGCCAGTATTTTAGAGCACCCAGCCACGTGGGCTGGGCACCCCCGAGGCCGAGCAGTTCCCTCCTGTCCCTTGGGCAGGTGGCCGAGGATGAGGTGAGCGATAACAGCGCCGAGTGCGTGGTTTGCCTGTCGGACGTCCGGGACACGCTGATCCTGCCCTGCCGCCACCTGTGCCTGTGCAACACCTGCGCCGACACCCTGCGCTACCAGGCCAACAACTGCCCCATCTGCAGGCTGCGTAAGGCCCGGGGGGCAGCTTGGGTGGGCTGGGCAGCATCTCTGGGAACGGGCTGGCATCTCCGGGAACGGGCTGGCATCTCTGGGAACGGGCTGGCATCTCCGGGAACGGGCTGGCATCTCTGGGAACGGGCTGGCATCTCCGGGAACGGGCTGGCATCTCCAGGAATGGGCTGGCATCTCCAGGAACGGGCTGGCATCTCCCACCCTCGAGCTCTGCAGTCCCTCTAGCCCCACTGGGGATGCCCCTCTTGAGAAACGGTGTCATTTTATGACAGGTCTCCTTTCAATGCCTGGTTTTCACCCCTCCCTTTTTTCCCTGCTGCCGCAGCTTTCCGAGCCTTGCTTCAAATCCGAGCCATGAGGAAAAAGCTGGGCCCGCTGTCGCCCACCAGCTTCAACCCCATCATCGCCTCGCAGACCTCCGACTCCGAGGAGCACTCGGTCAGTGCCTGCCTGAGGGTGGGACCCTGGCCTCTTCCACCAGGATGGGGATGTTTGGGGATCTGTGTGTCTCTGAAGAACAGGGTTTATTTACTTATTACAAATTCATCTTGCGAAAAAATGCAGGGTTGATGTTACAGGAAAAAAAAAAAAATAAAGGTTTCTGGCAGGGTGTCCATTCCCTAGGTTTGAGCTTCTTCCTGGGGCATTTTGATCCCACTGGTAGTGAGGGGATCAGCAAAATGGCCTAGGGAGGATCCTCAGCCCATCTTCCCCCCTCCCCAGTCCTCGGAGAACATCCCCCCGGGTTACGAGGTGGTGTCACTGCTGGAGGCTCTCAATGGGCCGCTGACGCCGTCGCCGGCCGCGCTGCCCCTGCGAGCGCTGGGGGATCCCCCGGGCGTGGGGACCCTGCCCTCGTACGGCAGCGATGGCCCCCTGCCCCCCCTGAGGGCCCTGTCACCCCTGGAGCGCCTGCCCGACTGCGGCCCCCCGGGGCTCAAGCTGAAGAAGAGCATCTCCAAGTGAGTACTGGGAGCCTGGGGGCACGCTGGGGCTCTGGGGGCTGTGGGCAGGGGTGGAACCCTCTGCTTTGCTCCTTTGGCCAGGTCCATCTCGCAGAACTCCTCCATCCTGCCCGAAGAGGAGGATGAGAAGTCGTGCACCGAGTCAGAGCTGAGGGTATCCAGGAGGAGATCCCCAGCCCGGCATGAGGAGGTGAGCACTGTCCAAAACGTGCTGGTAGGGAGTTGAGGCACCGGGGGGACAGCAGGTTTGGGTGAGGCTTGGGACCAGAGAGGCTGCCTGGGGTTGCCCCTCCTGGCTCTTCCTCCATCTATAAGGATGCCTGGAAGAGATGGGCCATCCATGCTGAGTATCCCTCATCCCATCCTTCCCATGGGCTCCTGTTCCAGGAATGTGGTGCGACACCGGAGAGTGAAAATATCACCCTGTCATCATCAGGAGCCATCGACCAGTCCTCGTGCACTGGGACACCCCTCTCCTCCACCATCTCGTCCCCAGAAGGTATAGCATGGAGGGGTTCATAGGTGCTGGCAAGGCAGGAGAGTGGCATCGTGATGTCAGGACTGTCACACTGTGGGGGGATGCAGAGAGGGGTGGCATGGCCCCTTCTTACCCTGCCATGGACATTGGATGGAGCCCCAGGACATCCCTCTGCTTTGTCACCTGTAGATGGAGATCATGGGGATCATGCCTGCTTTGTCACCTTGTAGACCCAGAAACTGGTGGCTGTGAGCCCTGGGGACCTGCTGCCGGTAGCTTTGCACCCATCACGTCTCTGTGGCACACAGCCAGTCCTCCCTCTGCACCCCACACCTCCTCATTAGCCCCCTTCCATTAGTGGGTGCTGTGCCGTGACTCCCACCAGCGGCTGGGGGGGTCCAGCAGCCCCCTCAGCCCCTGCTCTCCCCCAGAGCCCGTGAGCAGCAGCCTGGCTCAGTCCGTCATGTCCATGGCCTCCTCCCAGAGCCAGCACTCCCAACTCAGCACCGACACCGTGTCCTCCATGTCTGGCTCCTACATCGCCCCTGGCACGGAGGAGGAGGAGGAGGAGGAGGAGGAAGAGGACGTGCTCCCCTCACCTGCGGCCGCAAGCGCCACAGCCTCTGATGGAGAGGTAGGGACTGGGGGTTGTTGGTGGAGCCCAGGGTGGAGAGCTCTCCCATGGGATGTAACTCCTCCTCCAAAACCACTGGCACCAGACTTTTTTTGGTTTTGTTCCATCTTTCCCACCTTCCTCCTACAGTCAACACCTGTGGAGTCCCCAGATCTAAATTTTGTCAGCATTTCTGCCGAGGAGCGCGATGCCGAGGTAACCATCACCATCCCACGAGGAGCTGGGAGCTGTGGTGTCACCTGGCACCGTGGGGGGATCCCCGTTGTGCCCACGGAGGGGGAAGCTGGGCAGCTGGCACCACATTCCACCAGGGCTGGGCTGGGGAAGGGGCTGCCCTGGGGATGGATGGGGCACTGGGGCTGTGCCCCACTGACACTCCTGCTCCGTGGAATCCCCAGGGCCGGGGATGTGCCCCCAAAGGGACCTGGGAACAGCCCCTGGCTCAGCCCTGGGCTAACACACACTGCCTCTCGCCTGTGCCACAGGGCAACGATGTGCTGGAGGACGAGGACGCCTCTCCCACACAGGAAGATGGTAAAAGGCCCTGGGTCCTTGTTGTCCCCTCGCTGTCACCGTGAGTGGGGGGTGCTGTGCTGTCCCCAGCTCCCCTGCTGCCATCAGGGACAGCCCTGGGGGCTCTGTGGGAGCCAAACCTCTGTCACAGCGGGGACACCCACGGGGGGGCTGAGCACCAGTGGGTGGGGGGAGCCAGCCGGCCACGGGGACCCCAGAGAGTTCAGTGTGGGACATGGAGCAGGCGATGTGTGCAGGATCCAATGGTCTTTCCCAACGAGCCAAATGGGAAAGAGGTTTCTCTCTCTGCGCTTTTTCCCTCGCCAAGGTCTTTTCTCAAATCTCTGGAACTCTCCCCTGTAGAAATCAGTGTCTGGGCTGATTCCCATAGGAAGGGGCTGCAGAGCTGTTCCCCCTGGGATGCTTTCTTCACTTTCTTTGGCCTGTCCTCAATGTGCTTTCACAAGTCAACACAGACACATCGAGGGCTCCTCTTGCCTCCTCCCCTGAGCTCAGCCAGCCAAGGAAAGAGGTGGTCACCTCCATGCCACTGGCCACCAACTGCCCTGGATTGCTTTTGGGCAATAGGGAGGCCCACAGTGCACCCTCTCCCACATTTCCAAGTCTCTTTTCAGCAAAAATACAACAAAACTATTTCCCCATCCAACCCAGATGCTCAGCCAAGCTGGAAAGCAGGAACACCCATGGAACACCCATCTCCAAATCATGGCCTCTGACCTGCAGAGAGCCTCTGGCTGATGGGGAGACTCAAGTGTAACAAATAGGAACAACCAGGGGCTGTGGTGGACACCCACGGGCATCCCAACAGCTCTGGGAGCAGGATGGCCTTTCTCCTTAGGACACAGTCCTGCGCCTGTTCTCAGCAGGGCTACTGGCACATTTGGGAACATCCCTCCTGAGGTTTAGTCACCTGCATCTGATGGATGCAGGTAAGAACCTGGAGGCTGATCTGTTGTAGAAGCGATGCTAAGAAGCAGAGTTACCCCCCTCATCCCCAAAAGCCTCCATCCCCCCCTGCAAAAGCTTGGCTGCGGCTTCTTTTGCCCCACGCATCCAGCTACTGCCTCTTCCCGGCATCCACGCAGCTCTCACTGCACCGCTGGTGCTGGAGAGGCTCCTGCAGGAGGTGATGGGTGCCACCACAGCCTGGCTGTGCCAGAGGGAAGGTTTGGCTGAACCCTGTTGGTTGGCAGGTTGGTGCGCGTGCCCGCGGCCGCATCGTCGCTGTTCCGCTGCCCTCCGATGCGGCCGCTGCGAGGAAAGGAGCAGCTTGGGCCGTGCCCAGGCGTTATTGTCCACTCTTCACCCGCTCCCACACAGATGCATCGTTTCTATGTCATTTTTTGTTTTGAAAGAGGCTGGGGAGGGGAGAGGAAAAGCCCCAGAAATCCCACCCCCCAGTGCTAAAAAGGCGACATCGAGCCCCAGCCCGGCCGAGTTAACTGCCTTAACTCCCTTCCAGGCCCGAGGACAGGCGCTTTCCTCGGTCTGAGGTGTGACAATAACAATGACATGGGCATCGCACACGTGAAAGCGCTGGACAATAAACTGTGCTCTGAGGCCTGCTTACCTGGTGAGTGGCCGTCTGCTGAACATGAACTTGGGGTGCGGGGGGACAGTTCCACTCTTCCCTGCATCCCCCCAGCCCTTTGCATCCATCCCTCCTCTCCCATCACCATCATTCCCACCATCCTGGCCACTACCATCCCCGCCAGGTTGTCCTCACTGCACCCCTCCACCCGTCCCTGTGTGGGGCTGAGCACCAGACTCGTCACCACCCGTAGGTCAGGGTGGCCTGTCCAGACTGGGACATCCCCAGGCAGCTTTGCTGGCATTCTCTGTCCCTTGGCCAGGGGCTGCTGGCACTCCAGGAGGCACCAGACCTCCCTAGGATGGTGGTTGTGTGGTACAGCTGTAGCCTGGTACAGGCTTGTGGTGGGCACAGCAATATTTTGAGTTGGGATGTGATCCACAGGCAGTCCAGCTGTACAGCAGGAGCTGCCTGTCCTGTCCTCCTCTTCCTCCAAGGTCAGGGAGATGGGGTGTGTCCATCAGGTCACCTTTCTACAGAGCCCCAGCATTCATCTGTCCCATTTCTTCATGCTTTTTCCCCCACCCTCCTTCCATTTCTGTTTCCTCCCAGCCTCTCTCCATCCCCCTTTTTTTCTTCCTTCCCCCCAGGCTCCTCCGTCTGTGTGAAAGTTCATGTTCGCTCTGTGCCAACACGGTTTTCTCCACCCACGCTTGTGCCCCTTCCCTGCCCAGAGTTGCCCAAAGGTGACAAATGTATTGAACACCCCTGGCCCCTGTGTGGAAGGGGGCAGTGGGTTGGGGACCCTGCCCAGACCTGCAGGCTCTCCTCAGCCTGTGCGTGGGGAAACGAGCCAAAAAGCCAAGACAACACCCTCTGAGGGGTCTCCCTCAATACATTTGTGGACAAGCTGAAAGCAACTCTGCCCCTGCCTTGCCCCGTCAGCAGACTTTGTGGCAGGTCCCAGACCTGCAGCAGGTACTGGAGAGCCAAGAGAGTGGGTGAAACCCACTGGAGGGAGGCAAAATCCTTTCTTCTCCCCTTCTCCTTTGGGAAAGCCTCCTCTCCTGCTGCCTTGCCTGTTCCTGCTGGTTTCTACGCTGGAGAAACACAGCTGAGGCTCTTGGGGAGGAACAGGCGCCTGCCACAAAAGCCCTGTGTCCCCCCCATCACCCTCTGTCAGCAGCTGGCTGAGTCCTGCTGGCCTGGAGGGAATGGGGAGGGAGCTGGGGGTGTCCCAGCAGCACCTCTGCTTTGCTGGAGGGCCTGGCAAAGCATCCCTTGGCTGTGGCAGTGGCCAAAGCCATCCTTGACTGCATCCCTCTTGGTTGTGCTGGGGGGCGGATGAGGAAGGGAGAGCTTTGCAGCCCAGATGGCTCTGGCACAGGGTCAAATTCTTGCTCTGCTATGAGGAGGGCACTGGCCTTGTCCCCTGCTTGGGCTGGGGTGCAGGAGCTGGTCCCTGGGCTGGGCCCAGCCAAGGATGCCCTCTCCATCCTTTGGCCACCACACCTGTCCATGTGTCTGGCACGAGCTGTGCTGCATGAGAGGGGTGAGCCAGCCTCGGCATTTGTGGGGAAAAGCTGAGGGCTGCCCCCTGTGCTGGGACCAGGGGCAGAGGAGGTGCAGGGTGGGGGCTTTGGGGGCTGTCCATGGTCCCCTGGGAATGGCAGACACGATGTTCTCCACCCCTTTTCACTCGCTGTAGGATACAAGGCATTTTTCCCACATAATAACAGACAGCGATCATTGCTGACTTTCCTTTTTGAGTTGTTGCACCAGTTTTTATAGATCAGGATGTTCCAGCAGTTTTTAACTGGGGTAATGTCCATTCCAGTAGGGGTTGGAGACAAAGTGTCATGTAACACATCTAACATAACATTTTGGTGCAGTTTCAGTAGGGAGCAGCTGAAGTGACACCCTGCTCTATAGGTGAAATCACAAATGCATTGATTCAAAGCTGTGTCTTTGTGTCATCCACTGTTAAATTGTCACATGGGGTTCTTAGACACACACACCCTTATCCTGTGGGTACTGGGATGGATTCAGGGTCATGGTCTGGAGACATTTCAAAATGATAGCCACAGTTCTGTGTCCAAACACACAGGTTAGGCTATCAAAATCTTACTTTCCTTTACAAACCCCTGCCATTCTCTCACCACACAACCACTTAGATCAGTGGTTTGCCATGCATGTGTATGATGGTTCTTAAAAGCCCGTGCTCAGTGCTCCAATGGATCTAATCCTGTTCCTACCACAGGGATTTGGTTCTTGCTATGTACAGAAGCACTCTATATTGCCAAGACAAATGCTGTGACCTTGCTAGTGATGGGGACATAAGAAAATTTGATTGAAGACCGCCAGGATTGAAATGCCCTTTCAAATTTCAATGAATAAAAGTCCCTTTTCCCATTCAGTGATTATCCCAGCACTGGCAGAGTGTAACCACAACTGAGTTGGAATACAGCTGAGTGCTGAAGACACTGCTTTGGGCAATTCCCAGACCATCAGCCAGTTGGTCATTAGCATTTGGGTATTTTTGGTGTTTGAAGCTGACTACTATGCGTTCCCAAGAGCAGATAAGGAAGACCTTAAGGGCTGATCTGTAGTGTTGAAATTATTAATGGTTGCACTTGATTGATCAGTTAGAGTTTGAAGATTGATATTATTCAATACTCCTATTCCAGTTCCCAATATATCAGTTAGATGTGTGAGATAAAAGCCAGGAACACCACCCAGTAGAGGAGGTAACAGTAAAAGATGAATGTTTTGGTCTGATAGCAGAAACATTGGTCTGAATCTCTTTAAGGACTAGGATTAAACAATATTTGTTGTTGTTCAACCAATTTGACGTTGAAATGTTATATAGGTTATATATATATATAATTTAATAATTATAATCATTATAGTAATTATAATAATAACTTATATTTTATATATTTATATGTTTTTATATTTTGATATATGTACATACATGTACATATACATACTTACATATATATACATACATACACACACACATACACAAACACACACACACACATATATATATATCTGAAATGTATAGGTTTTGGAGAAGTTTTTGGAGCAGTTGTGGAGGGTATGATGGGCACACTTAAATCCTCTATGGTCCAGTCAGCTTCTGTATCATAAGGAGCTAAGATCAGTATTGTGTCTTTAAATTTACAATCCTTTGGGCTCATGGTAAGACAGATTGGGGGTGTTCCATATTTTGTGATTTTGTTTTGGCTGTATCATTCATAAAACTTCCCAGAGCTTGTACCCAGTTCATGACAACCCCATTCACTGGTTGTAGGGAAGGCAGTAGCATCCTGGCCCTTGAGATCTGTGCTGTTCAAGAGTCAACATCTAGGACAGTCTCCAAGCTGGTGATGTTTGATAATGATGGTTTTGTCCTCTCTGTAATAGACGAAGGCGAGGGACGTGGTTCCTCAAAGTTTCTTTTGAAATCTCTGCAGATTTCAATCTGTTGGGAAAGAGCACTGGGAGGAGGTGAAAGTCCCCATTCCAGGGATTTTAAGACACGAGGTTTAACTAAACCTATAGATCCGTGTTCTTGTGCAGATCCTGCAGAGCACAGGTCGCAGGGGCTGTCTCCAGGGTTCAGAGAATCCTCTGGCCACAGCCACAGCCTCTGCCAGGGGAAGGGTGGCAAAAACAGCTTTGGAAAGAGAAACTGGGGAAAAGCATCTGCCAGAAAGGCTGGCACTGAGGTGGGGGGGCTGGAAGGCTGCTGTAGAAAACCTGAAATCCCCTGCGGGCTCTTGCTGGTTTAAAGCCAGAGATGCTCTGAGCCGTGAGCAGTGGGCCGGGCGAGCCGGCTGGGTTTCACCAGGATGGGATTTGGGAGCTGCTCTGCCCAGGGCAGGTCTGCCAGCTGCTGACGGCAGGGGAGACCCCTCCAGCAGCACAAGGGGTGGGAGGTGGGTGGGCACAGGGCTGACATCCTGCTCCAGAGCCAGACCATGTCCTGCTGCCCCAGCCCTGCTCCTCGGCAGCCTCACAAGGGTGCACTGAGCAGAGCTGTGTCTCTGCTCTGGAGCACTGCAGTGACTTAGGCAATATCAAGCTCTTAATGGGATTTCCATGTGCATGTACGTGTGGTCCTGTTCAATTATCCATTCCCTCCGGAATCTGCAGACTTAACATGCCTCGCTCTCCAGCCTGAGCTCGCCATGAAAAGCCAGTCGAAATAGCAGCTGTCACCTCCCATAAATCAGCAGGCAGCAGGATTTTGTTGCTCTCCCTCTGAGAAAGCCTCAGCCCTGGACCTTGGCATGCCTCACACAGTCCCTCTGCCTCAGAGCTCCCCTGGCCACAGGGCTTAACCTCTCTGGAGGGCGCAGCCAAGCTGCCCTAAGCGTGCACCCCCTTCCTAAGGGCACTACGCAGCCTCTGATGGGTTTGGTGGTGGGACACAAGCCAGGGGCCGAGCTCTGCCATCACCCAGTCCCAGCTGAAGGCTGCTGCCTGAACCGAGAGCCTGCAGCCGGAGAGGAGGCATGCGGGCACCCAGCTACCCCCGCACCACAAGCACGTCCACCCCTCGGTTTCCCTTGGCACGAAACCCCGGGTGGCTCCACGCATGGGGACCCCTCCCTCCGTGCCCGGCACAGCTCCCCGGACCCCTTGGCAGGCGGTGAGCCCCCCCAGACCCGCCGGTCACCCCGTTTGCTCGCTCGTGTGTGCATGTCCCCGTGTCCCCGAGCCGCCTCCGCTCCTGCCTTCACCGTGTGCCTTCTGGTCTCTCCTGCCTCGCAGCCGCCGTGCCGGACTCCTGCCCCATTAACATTGAGGAATAGGTGAGACCCCGAGACCCCCAGAGCTGCGCCCGCCTCGTGCCGTCCCCCGGGGGGTTGGAGCTGGGTTGTCACCCGTTGCTGGTGGCCCTCTCACTGCCCAGGTGACATCCCTTGGGCACCTGCATGTGGCCTCTGGCTGGGCAGAGGGGGCACAGGCAGCCCCCTTTCATTTGGGTTATTTAAACACAGCGGTGGTCGCGCTGTGCTTCCCGTTTGGCCCTCAGCGTTCCTGAGAAATTGGGGGTTTAAGAGGCTCCCCCGGCCTGGAGAGGTGAGTTCAGGCACCCCCCCAGCCCTCACTGCCCCCAAAACCCAACGGGGGGCTGGGGAGGTGGGCGTTACTTTGGGAGAATAAATCGTATCCCCCATGAATAAACGAGCCGAGTGCACCAGTGGGCTTTGGGAGCCCCTAACCCCATTTTCTCCCCCCAGGCCCAGAGGCAGCCAACAACAACGTGGGGCTGCAGCAAACCTGGCCCCGCCGCCCCCCCGGCTCCTGGGACCCGGAGCAGGCACCGTGGGCCCTGCCCGTGTGAGGGCTCAGCCTCGGTGGGGGCACAGACCCCCCTGCCCACCCAGAGGGTGTCTGGGCACCGTGGGCATCGCCACCTCCACCCCTCGGCTGTACCAGGACTGATTTTCAAAAGAAAAGACGGTAACCTCGACTTTTCCGTGGGGGCTGAAAGCCATGTCACTTTGGAGCCCCCCATTAGCACCTTCCCATTCTCCAGCCATAACGGGGACAGGCTGGGGTCCCCTCCTGCCCCCCCCAGGTCACCATACACCCCCAGGCTCCTCTCCTCCAATGTGTGGAGCAGATGGGACAGGGTCACCTCACTGAGGGGGTTCTGGGATGTGGGTGGGTGGGGACAGTGGGAGGATGATGTTCAGGGGTGTGGGTTCAAGGGTGAGTGTTGGGGTTGGAATCCTTGGTGCATGAGCTGGTGACTCTCATGGGGGGCCGGCCCCCCCCCAGGCTTGCTGGCCCATGCCCCTGCCCTGCCGTGTGCTGTCCCCATGCCATGGGATGTCCCCATTGATGCACTGGCAGTAGTGGTGCCCTCATAGCTCCCCCTCCTCCTGCTCTCCCTCTGAGCAGCACCTGGGCTCCTGGGCCTGGCCCTGAGGTTGCTTTTCCCCAGGGCATGCAGTGGGGTGGCAGGGGTGGTGGGCAGGAGACCTGGTACCACCCCCCAGCCCTGCCAGCCTGCTCCTGGGGCATTGACAATTTATCCTCTCTGTCTTCCGCCCTGCTGTGAGCTCAGGGCTCTGGAACAAGTGCCAAAAGTGTCACCCCCATCCCACCCGTCCTGCCCTCCCATAACACTTTGTAGCAAGGGGTGGATGAGGGTGTGGAGCCCATCCCCATCCCTCTGGCCAGCACTGGGCTGGCAGCATAAGTGGATTTTGCTCCAAGGGCGGATACACAGGGATAGTAAAGGAAGAGGGATAAAGCCACAGACCCTGGGGGCCACGCTCTACTCCAGAGAGCATCAGGACAGTCAGAAATCACTTGGAAATCACATCAGACCCTGCATCCCAATCTATTGAGCTCTGGAGCTGTTTGGGGCAGCCCAGGGTGGGAAGCTGAGCCTTCCTTTTCGCCACCTGTTTTTGTCACATGGCTGTGGCAGCAAAGGCCACCTCCTCTTTGCAAAGCACCTTAGAACAGAGGTGTCCATGCACTGAAAGCAGTGTCCCTGGAGGGGTGTGTGTGAGAAGCAGGTTCCCAGTGCCATCCCCATGGCAGAGCATGGGCTGTGCTGGTGATGGCTGTGGCTCCTAAAGAGGGATGAAGCCCTTCTGGGGGCTGGGGGGTGTTTTCTCTGCCTGGCTGTCAGCCAGGGCCACGGTAGCTGCTTGTTCTGCGGCCCCAGTGTGGGTCCTGCCAGAGGTGGGTTTGGAGGCAGCCGTCCCACTGCTCTCTCCTCTGGGCTGGCTGTCTCCTCTGTGCTCAACAGCTCCCAAATTCCTCCCTGGGAACCCAGGGCTGGCTGCTTGATCTCCAAAATGCCATCCTGTGGCATGTGAGGTGGGAGCTGCAAACAGCAGGGAGGGATGAAGTGGTGGGGACAAGTCTTGTGCCCCATTTGGGGATGCACTGGGTGTCCCAGCCCCAGGGAGCCACAGCACCTCACAGGTGCTTTGGAGGTTCACCATCGTGCTAAGCTAAGAAAATCATGGCAGCCATCTCTTCCCTAAGTCTCCAACAAGGGCAGGGGAGAGAAAATTTGGCTGATGCTCCAGGGGCATCTCATCTACCACAGCCCAGCCTTCCTCATGGTTTCAAAGGGGACAAAGACAGCTGGCCTGGCACCCTGGCACAGGGTGCAATGGTGCTTGTGGCTGCCAGCAGAACGAGGAGGACTTAGGAGTGACCCTGAGGGTTTTCTGGCTTCTCTGAGTGGTGTCTCCAAGGCTGCAGGAGCAGCCAGACAAGCTCACGAGGCGGCCGCAGACCCAGGGTGGCTGTGGGTGAGCGCTGCCCCTCGCTCAGAGCGACCGTGGCCGCGATGGAGAGGAGCCCAGAGGATGCTGTGGCCGAGCGGCACTGCTGCCTGGCTGCGAGCAAAGAATCCATCCTCTGGGTGGCACAGGAGAGACGGGATTAGGGCATGAGTGACACCAGTGCCGTCCTTGGCCACCCAGAAGGGGTAAGGGGCAGGCAGGAGCTGCCAGCACAGCGTGGGGTGAAAGGTGACAGCCCCTTGTGTCCCTCTTGTTCCAGTGACCCACGTGTCAGGGATTTAAGGAAGGAAACCAGATTGCTGCTTATGATTTTGCTTTGAGCATGTTTTGGATTTTAAGACTATGTTTAATAAAGGGTATCTTATGTCGACAAAGTGTCCAGAGTCATTTTGTGGTTGCAGGGTGAGGGCAGTTGGGGTCTGGCGGGCTTGGTGTGTAAAAACCCTTTTTGGCTGGGAAGACCCACTTACCTGTCACCCAGGTACCTTCTCCAAAACAGCCCAGCTGATTCAAATGTCCTAAAACACTTCCAAACTGCATTCCCGACTATCCTAATTCCTGCCAGGGTGGAGAAAGGGCAAATGCAAACTAAAGCTCTGCAGGAAGAGTCTGGCCTGGGGTAGAGGCATCTTCCTGGTGTGTGGTGTGGGTGGCCCCTGTCAGTGCTGTGATGGATGAGAACACCCAGAGGGGGAACTTTTCCTGGGGGAGAAGAGGAGCAACAAAGAGCTGCGAGCTCATGCAAGAGAAATCCCTCCAGAGGTGGGGAAGAAAATGTGTGCAGGGAGCTGAAGTCTTGAAGGTGAGGAGGGCTGTAAGGGGGATTATAATTTGGGTTTAGTAGAAGGGGCTGATGATAGTGGGAGGAAGCAACTTGCAGCTAAATTAGAGTCAAAATCAGAATCAATCAGATTGGAAAAGGCTTCTGAGATCATCGTGTCCAACACATGACTGAACAAGCTGGAGGGGAATGGCTTGCAGATGGTCAGATCCTTCAAAGGGATCCCTCCCTGGCCTCTGCTAAAGCTCTTGGAACAGCAGTTAGGGGACAGAGATTTCTTAGAGAAGCCTTTGGATGCAGGTTTTTTTAATTAAAGGCAGACTCCATCCTTTATGTTTGGAGTCTGCCAGCCTCACTTCAGCTTTGCCCTCATCGCTGTGGGTGCATCAGGAGCAAGAAATAGGATGGGGGCACAGGTAGGAGGAAAAGGGCTGGGGTTGCCCCTGGAGGGGCAGGTCACAGGTTTCCACAGAATCACAAATGGTTTGGGCTGGAAGGGACATTAAAGATCATCCAGTTCCAACCTCCCCCACACCAAAGTCTGGGACACCTTCCACTACCTCAGGTTGCTCCAAGCCCCATCCAACCTGGCCTTGAACTATTCCAGGCATGGGGCATCCACAGCTTCTCTGAGCAACCTGTTCCACCACGCTCACAATCGTTTCCTTCCTATAACCCAGTCTAAACCTACTCTCGGTTTGAAGCCATTCCCTTTTCCTATCACCACGCGGCCGCTTCAAAAGTCCCTCCCCAGCTTTCTCAGAGCTCCCTCCAGGTACTGGAAAGCCTCCACAAGGTCACCGCAGAGCCTCCTCCTGTCCCCAGGGCTGCGTTCGGCGGGGTCCCCCAGCATCCCTGGGTACCACCCCCGGTTCCCATGGCAACGCGCGGACCAATGGCGTGACCGGAAGATGTTTACGGGGCGTGGCGTCTCCCCGGCAACGCGCGAAGCCTCCCGGAGCCGCTACTTAACCCCGCACCGGGGCGGCCGCGACTCACGGCGGCTCGGCGGGCACGGCCCGGCCCGGGCACCCCGACACCCCTGGGACTTCTCTTTCCCCTTCTCTTTTTCTCCCCTCCTGCTTTTTTTTTGTTTGTTTGGTTGGTTGGTTGCTTTTGTTTGTTTGTTTAATTTTTATTTTTTTTTTAATTTTTATTTTTACCTGCCGTCTCCTGTTTTTCCAGAAGCTTCTTACTCTGTCGTGAACTTTGCCTGTCGGGGGGCGACACCGGGACGGGGTAAGGGGATGCGGCGGGGTCGGGAGGGCGGTGGGACGGGAAGGGCAGCGCTGTTGGGGGCGGAGGGTCTGCGTGGGGGAGCGGCTCTGGTTATGCGCCCTCCCGGAGCTCTCTCGTGGCCCACACACTCGGGATTTCGGGTTTACATCCACATCCCCGACACAGGACTCCCCAAAGTCTGAAGCTGCCGACTCTCACTGACTGAGGGTGTACTTGGGGTGGGACCCTGCCACTTCCCCCAACCCACCCCTGAGTTGTTTCTGGGTACCATGGGAAGGTAAAAGCAGAAATAGCATAAAACCGAGAGAAAGTGGCTGTGAGGGGTGAATCTTTAAAGTATTTTTGTCCTGGTGTGGAATACTGAGTTAGTCCTCTGAGTGCCAGGTATCCAGAGATGTGTGTTCCCAAGAAACAACCTCACTTTGTGGGATGGCAGGGCTGGATTTTGGTTGTTTGAGGGGGTTTTTGTTGTGTTTTTAAAAATTCTTTGTTTAGCCAAGAACTTGCTGGGCAGCAGGTCAGTGGGTGACACTGAGGTGTAGGAGTTTGAGGTTCAAGGTGGTTCAGTCCCTCAGGGCAGGCATGGCAGGTCCTGCACAGCACACCAGGGATGGGTCTCACCCAGCAGCTCCAGGAGCACCCAGCTGGCCCTGCCTGGCTGTCAGAGAGAGACTGCACCTTGGGGAACTTCACCCCTGTTCCTGTTGTTATTGCAGGGTCTGCCCCATCCCTTCCCTCCCCTTCACGTGCAGTTGGGAAGCACTGAGGGAGGCATGGCGTGGCCGAGCCGAGCGCTGAAAGCCAAGGGAAAGTTGAAGTGTGTGGAGGAAGACCTGGATGACAGCCTGCCAGACCTCATGTGGCTGAGGGACTTCACGGTGGCCCAGACTGGCCTGCCTCAGTTATACTCTGGCTCAGACCCCCAGGACTGTTACACGATGAGTGAGAGTCTGTTCAGCCTGGTTGATTTTGAGTCCCCGTGCTCGCCCCTGGCTGCTGACCCGGCCTGCAAGGGCACACGCCACACTCCCTGCACGCCTGTCTCCTCCTCCACCTCCTCCACCACGCACCACGACGTGGCTGTGCCCCCTCATCTCACAGGGGACATCGACTACAAGACCAACCCTCATGTCAAGCCGCCCTACTCATACGCCACCCTCATCTGCATGGCCATGGAAGCCAGCAATAAACCCAAAATCACTCTCTCTGCCATCTACAAGTGGATTACTGACAACTTCTGCTACTTCCGACATGCTGATCCCACCTGGCAGGTAGGAGATGTGGAGCCTTGGCCACTGTCCCTGCAGGGCTGAGCAGGGCTTTCCACAGCCTCCACCCTGCAAGACAAGATTCTGCAGGGATGCTGGATCCCACTGGGAAAAGAGTGACACCAGCCACCAGTGGGGAAGGGCTGGAATGGGAGAGGACTTGGCTGGGCATGAATGCCACGGCCATCGAGGTGGCAGAGGGAAGGAGCCATTCTGGGGGAGAGCCCAGGACCATTTTGGGAGCAGGCAGGCGCTCATTGGGCTCCTGGCACCTGAGACTCCTCTTGGTCTCTACATTCCTGGAGTTCTCCTGGGGCCCTGAGTCCCTTGGGGTTGAGCACACATGGAGAAGTTGCCAGGTCAAGTGTCCCTGGGTGCTGAGAACCAGGCATGGGAGAGGGATGGAGATGTCACTTGTTGGACAAGTCTCTCTCTGTGGAGGTTCTGAGCAGAAATGCCTCTGCTTTCCAAGCAGGGCAGAGTACTGGGCTCCTGGCCCCAGGGATAGGCCAAGGGGCCTCCTTCACTGGGATGAGCTGGTGAGACCTGCAGAGGGAAGCCCAGGAGTGGTTAACTTGGGCTTCTGTCCCCAGCTAGCACAAACATGTCCCCAGGGGAGAGGAGACAAGCCCCCAGGCTCACCAGCTTTGGGGACAGCCTGAAACCCGGGGGCTTTTCCCAGCCACCCTGGCTTGCTGCCCTCCTCTGTCACACCAGGAGACCTCTGGCACGCGAGGTTTTCTAGGATATGGCAGGGCTGGAGGGCTCTAGGGGCTCATCCCTCCACTGGGGTTATTCCCATCCCAAATCCACAGTGTGTCACTAATCCTGATGGAGAACCCCACTGCAAAGCCCAGGCATTGCCCACCTTCTCTCCAGGCAGGTGGGTCTCCAGTGGCTCTTGAAGCCCATCACAGGGAAGGGAACCAGTCCCCCTCCAGGGCCATCTTGGTCCCACTCTTACACTCAGGGGACCTATGAAAGTGATTTGGATGCAGGAGCTGGGTGCCAGCAGGTTGACTTTCTCCTGCACACTTCATGGCTAAGCATTCACAAAGTTTTTAATTAAATGTGTTCATTAAAAAAAGAAAGAAGGTTTTCAATTCCTCTCTGCAGAGATGCAGGGGGTACCCTGGGCCGTTGCAGGCAGGAATGATAAATATGTTGACCAGCTGAGTAATAATTCAGCCTGGGCTGAGCAAAATTTGGGATGGGGAGGAGAGATGGGCAGCAGAGAATTCAGCTTTCAAGTCTCTGATCCTTGTAAAATTTCATTACACAGTAAAATTGGAGTTACCACAGCCTGGATTGTATGGAGGAATATCTGTATTCCTCCTTCTTCTTTCTTCTCTTTTTTTTTCTCCTTCCTTTTTTTTCTTAATCTTTTGTTTCATTTCACTTTTTTTCACTTTTTTTTCCCTTCCTTTCTTTTTTTTTTTTTTTTTCCTTTTCTTTTCTTTCTTGTTGTGGCTGTGTTCTCATCCCCTATCCCGATTCCCGTACGTGAAGACAGCCTGGAAAGGTCATGCCACCCATAGTCTGAGGGGGAGATGGATATATTCCTGTGGGAGCTGAGTGCTTTGGAGAGGAGCCAACAAACCCAAGGAGCTTCAGCCCAGAGGAGTGTTTTGGTGTGTGTGTGTGTGTGTGTGTGTGCATGTTTTTCAACAGCTCTAAGCAATTGAGCCTTGTTTTTCCTATTGGGCACTACGGATTATGGATGAATAAGCATAAAGATATCCAGGCAACATTAAAGAAAAAAAAAAAAAACAAAGCAAAAAAACCCAAAAAAAAACCCCACCTCTGCCATATCCAATCTCTTAGTACAGTCCTGGTTTTGTGGAGTCCAACGCTGGGTTATTTACCCAATAACTGAGTTTCCTTTCTGATTATTCACATCACTCCAGGCACATTCAGGGTTTCAGAACAGCTTGATGGGAGTAGAAACTCCTCCTTTTCTTCCCCCCTCCTTTTTTTTCCCTCAGCTTATTTGAGCAGTGCCTGATGAAGATGCAGTGATTCCACACCGAGGTTCTCTGGGCCAGGAGGCACCTCTGGGGACACACAGGGTGGAACAGCCCATGTGTCTCTCCGTGTTCTCCCATCTGATTTGTGCCAGCCTGACTAGGGGAAGGCATGGTGCCTATGTTTTCTCCAAATATTTTCCTCTCAACACTACCAATAGACACAGTTGAACTGGGGAATGCCAGCAGGGCTCTGATTGCTGTCCCCCCACACTGCTGCCATGTGCTGCCCCTTGTAAAGGGGCCATGGCCACATGGGTGTAAAGACCCACCTCTTCCTCCCTGGCACGGACGATCCAACCTCCTCCAGCCTAGCTCTATGCCTAGAGCAATTCAAGCCAGTTTCTCCCAGTGTTCTGCATGATTCAAGGCCCCATGGCCCCAATTTCCAGCCAAGGAGAGCTGCCCAAAAGCTTCCCATTGGGTGGCAAGTCCTAGCTTGAGCCCCTTGGCTCCTGCCACCTTTGGCTGGATGAGACAGAAGGCAGGAAAACTGCTGGAGACTCAGGGCTTTGAGGGACTTTCTGCTGGGCATGTAGCCTTGGGTGTCTGGATGTTGCCAGTTCTGCTTTATTTTCCCAAAGGTCCTTGTGGAAACCCCCACCAGCCTACCAAGACAGGTAGGTCCTGCAGCTGCAGACAAGCACTCAGCCTTGGTTTCTTTCTCTTTTGACTCCAGAATTCCATCAGGCACAACCTTTCCTTGAACAAGTCCTTCATCAAGGTGCCTCGGGAGAAAGACGAGCCAGGGAAAGGTGGATTTTGGAAGCTGGACCCTTACTATGCCAACCGGCTCAAGTATGGGACTTACAAAAAGCGGAGGATGTCTCCAGTGCAGATCCACCCAGCCTTCTCCGGGAGGGTCCAGAAAGAAGCACGGCATGTTGTCAGCCCAGCCACTTCCTCCTGCAGCTCCAACAGCGTCCTCGAGGCCAGCGTGGCATCACAGCAGCTGCTCAAAGAGTTCGAGGAAACCACCAGCAGCCAGAGCTGGAGCCCTGTGGGTACCAAAGCGGGGCAGAAGGGCAAGCAGCCCTCACCCCTGCCCACAGCCAAGGCGTCCCGGCTTCCCAGCTCAGCCCTGATGACCCAGGAGGAGCAGACTGAGCTGGGATCGCTGAAAGGTGTCTTTGACTGGGAAACTGTCTTTAACACCAACCTCAACGGAGACTTCTCCACTCTGGTGGATATGGAGCTCCCACCTTCCATCAACCCTGTCACATGTGACCTAGACTGGACAGGACAAGGGCAACACATGGAGTGTCCCCAGGGGCAGGAACAAGTTGTCACCGAATCCAACCAGTACAGCCTGGACTTTAACGAAACCCTCATGGCCACAACTTTCTTGGAGCATCCCTGGGATGAAGGGACAAGCGATTACCTCTCCAACTGTGTCAACATTGACCAGGTGTTTGAAGACATCGATGCCTCTTTGCTGGCAGATGTCATCAACCTCAGCAGTCTGGCACGCCTCTTGTAAGACTTTTGTAGGATGCTCTCCCCAAGCTGGGACTTACAAGGGACAAGATTTCCTAGAGATGCCCATGGTGACTTTTACCAGCTTCATTGTAAGGTTATTCCCAGAAACACCAGGGGAAAAAACCCCACCACCCCAGGAGCTGCCTGCTGTGTCTCCAAAGGACACCTCAGAAGTGTCTAGTTTTCTCAAGAGAAGAAAGTTAACACTACTTATTTTTTTTTTACATTTTACTTTAAAAAAAGAAATGTGAATTAAGATGGGTTCTTTACCATCAGGGCTAAAATTACCTGTGAAATCCCATCTAAGACATGAGATTCCTGGTGGCTTAGGATTTGATAGACTAAAGTGCAATTTCCACACCTCTTTGCCTCTCTGTTTCACTCTGTCTTTCCTTTTTCTATCTCAGTGCAGTTGGTAGGTACAGTGTGATAATTAGCTGGTAAGAAAATACAGGTCCCTTCTGGATTCTCCACATTCAACATCCCAGCTGACTTGTGCCTAGGGAAGAAGAAAAGGTTTATAAACTCAGCAAGTGTGCCTCTTTAGACGTTTTTATATAATCTATTATATATTATATATTCAAAGAAATCTATATTTTTTAGCACTAGAATTTCTTAAGGGGGGAGGGGAAGACTGGAAATGCAGTTTGAGAGTTGTTTTATATTTTCACTGTTTAAAGGTTTTGTGTTCATTGTTCTGTAAAACAAGACCACACAAGGGAGAACTCCTGCACCAACAGGTTTTGTGAAGAATCCAGGAATTGGCCCTGGCAGGAGAGAAGCGGCAAGGACCAGGATGCTCCCAAAACCAGCTTTTGTATTTTTTGTACCCAAAACCCTTGCTGCAGTTGCCAATGGGTCTGGAGCACCATGAACCCTCTCTTTCACCTACTGACATAGCCCCTCTCTGCTTTTTTGGTCTGAGATTGTTGCTCTTCGCTTCTCCAGCTCTTCCATCAGGCTCCGGGTGCAAGGAAAACCCCACGGCCTGGCCCTCATCTGGTGGTGATGGAGCCATTCCACACTGAGCACTCCCAGGTGGGGCTGAGGAGGAAAGAAATCCACATTCAGGCTCCATCCAGGAGCTCAGGCCAAAAACTGCACATGTAACAGGCTCTGGGGGACAGCAGTGGAAATGAAGTCCCATCCAGCCGGGAGAGACGTCAGGATCGGTGTGCAGCGAGAGCGTGGTGGGGTCAGTGCAAGGTAACTTGGAAATATTTTGGGAGCAGAGCCAAACTCTGCTGAAACTTGACTTGAAGCTCTCAAGAACCAGATTCTTTGCCTCTGCTTTGCTGTAGGCTGTGAAAGGTAGAGCAGTCATTAGGTAGGAGCAAGTAGAAGCTGGAATTTTAGTGGTGTGTCTTAGACTTGGCAAAAGAAGTGGAAGATTTTAATTAGATTCTGTTTTGGTTACAAAAGCACTTAGGAGGGGCTTTGGGGTCTGTGTAGTTGTTTGTATTGACAATGTTTCTTTTTATTTGCTGTTTTTCTTCTGTTTTCCTGCTTTGGGGATTATGTTGGAGAACTACAGAGATACTTGTGCAATTTAACTGTTTTCATGCAAATTATTTACAAATTTTAAAAAAATAATAATAAATAAAAAAATGGAGAAGGAAAAAATCCCTTTTGCCTCATTGTTTCCTTTCCCCAGCCCTGCTTGTAAACCCAGGAGCTCTCACACACTTGCACAACTGTGCAAATTCCCTGTGGGGAACCTGAGGCACGAACCAGCCCCAGTGAGACAATGGTTACACACCACCTATGTGACACAAGGTTGGCTGTGCCTGGTGTCCTGAGCTCTGGGAGCTGCTCCAACCCTGGGAATAGCCTTCCCTGGCCCTGCACAGGGAGCTTCTGGGCTGGCAGGTCCCTCTGCTTGTGCCATGTCACCACCTGGCCCTGTAGATGCTCCAAGATGCCCAAGTTTTGGGTACAGGGTGGGGAGAGGAGCTGCACAGAGGTCCATCTCCAGACCCTGCATGGGGCTCCTCCAGCCTGGTGCTTTGGGTGCACCCACTCCTGCATATCCCATCCGTCCTGCCCTGAGGACACAGCCCTGCCCTTCTCCTGGGGAGTGCACAAGGAGCTCCCCGGTGATCTACTGGATCCCCTCAGCACCAGGCACTCCAGCAGCCAGACCCAGGGCTGCTACAGCTTCTCCCAGTCCAGCCAATCTCAACCCAAAATAAGCCCTGGGCTCGGCATAGACACTTGCCTTGGTCTGTGTGTGCTTTGTGGTGGGAAAGCAGGATGCTGACGTTGGGAAAAGGTAGGGTTATCCCTGGGGGAACAGCTTTGATGTGTCTGAGGGGGAGAATTTAGAGGCAGATCTGGGCTTTCCTTTCAGCTTTGGGATATTGGGGGCCATGAATACCAGAAGGCATTAAGGAATTCCTTGTCCTGGCTTCTCCTCCTCTCAGCTCCTTGTTGGAAGCACTGGAAGAGCTATTCCCTTCTTCCCCCCGCCCCAGTACTGGTGGCACTTCAGGGCTGCAAAAAGCTGGCACTTCCCCTGCTCCTCAGACCACTTGTTTAATTCTTTTTGCCAGGCACAAACATGTAGTAGTGCTTTCAAACCCCCTGGAAAAGAGAAGTCTCCAGCATCCCCACCCTGCCAGGGGACTGAAAAAACCCAAACTTGCCAGGAAAAAATATTCCAGCCTGGCAGAGCCAGTCGAGGGGTTTAAAGTGAGAAAGGGTGAATATAAAGGAGGCACCAGGCGAGGCCTGAAACAACCCCGTTTTGTTCAGCAGCTGAAAGCAACCAAACCGACTTGGACGTGAATTTTCCCTTCTTTCAGTGAGATAATTTGGAGGGGGTGGTGTTTTTTCAAGCGGCAGCCAGGAGGTGCAGGAGCTGGGGGTGCTCTGGGCGGTGCCATCGCTTCCCATGGGGCACAAAGCGCGGCTGTGCTCGGGGCTGTGCTCGGTGCCAGGACGGAGGTCAGGACCCGGCAGCCGCGGACCTGCCCGGGCTTGCCGGTGGCAGCGGGGCTGCAGCCGGGGCTGGGGCTGGTCCAGCCCCGCAGGCTGTCCCGGCTCGCCCGGCACAGGGGCGGTGATGGGCTGGGGATGCAGCGCTGGCGGTGTCCACCCTGCTGCAAGCAATGAACCCAGAGCGCTCCAGCCCAGAGCTGGCCGCGTTTTGGGGCATCCACCAGCTCCAAAAACTCTCTGAAAGCTCAGCTCGCTGCCCTAGTGGGGTCCTTCCCCAGCTGGTTATTAAGCACATGACGATTATTCCTTTATTATTTATTTCTGCTATTTCCCCAGCCGTCCCCTCATCCATCATCCCTCTCTGATGGGCAAACATTGACACCTCAAACCAATCTCCCCTTCACAGAGGGAGAAAAAATATACACATAAGCCCTTCTTTTCTCTCCCTTTCTTGCCGTGTCTTTCTTTTCCCTCCATTGAGAGTGGGGCTGGCATGGAGCCATTCTGGCAACAGCCGGCTTTCACTTGCTAATCATCCTAAATATTGAAAATCAACCCTAGAATAAACAGCTCAAAGATTGGGGCCATCTCTGCTCTGTTTGGAAATGCTAATCTCGCTGCCTTTTGTTTTCCTTGTGTGGATTTGGTGCCTTGAATTTGGAGGAGGTCACAGCTCATGGGTTCTCTCTGCATCCCCAGATTTCTAAAATTTTTTCCCCTGTCATCGTAAAAAATTCAGTCCATTTTAACATCCTAGGCTGGGATGGTTGGAATGGTGAGGGGGGAGAAGGGGGAAGCAGGATGGAGGAGGGTAGGGAATGGACTCGCCTTGCATAGCAATGAATGAACCTCCAAAGTTTGGGAAAAAAACAGGTTTCCAAACATGCATCTGGGAGTTCACATGGATGTGAAATCTCCTGGGAGCCACACTTAGACAGGGAGATCTACTTGGTACAGCAGGTTCCTGGTGGGGATGGGATGGGGATGGCATCAGGGCAGCCTGGCACTCACCCAAGGCAGGGCTTGGGGACAGCTCAGGGGACTCCCTGGCCTGTGATGCTGATTTTTATAGTGTTTTACACCTGATGGGCTGGAGGTGCCACAGCAAACTCCAGACAGGCTGTGCTGAGCCCCACGGCTGGACTCGGATGGCTTTCAAGGAAGGATCAGGCTGGATGCAAACACCTCTCTGTGGGTCTGTAGGAGCACTGGGGGAGGTGGCTTTGAGAACAGAGAGGGGGGCAAAGCCCCTCTCCTGCTTTCCCAGCAGTGACCTTGTACTGCCAGCAGAGCCCAGAGGGACCTGTGGCACTCACACAGCCCGGGTGGCTCTCAGCACCCTGATGGGGAAACTGAGGCAGGGCTGATGTGGGTCAGAACCTGATTATCTCTGCAGAATTTTTGGAGCATCTCTTTCAGTCCTGTTCTTGTGCGGTGTGTGGGGCACTACACCCTCTGGCATGGGGGAGCACATCCAGTAAAAGTCCCCTCGGGTGCCCACGTCCCTCTGCGCCCCAGGGAGCCCCGGGACGGGTCAGTGGCCGTTGCCAGTGGCTGTTCCCGGCTGGCACAATGTCCCGGCAGGCCGAGGCTTGCCCTGCAGCAGGGAGGGGGGGAGTGCCGGCAGCCACAATGCAACAGCCCCTGCGTAAGAGCCGTCACATGGACACGCTCGGCTGCCCCTTCCTCCTCCTCCTCATCCTCAGCCCCACCGCCCCCTCCATGCATGCCTGGCTAGGGGGCTGCAGCCCCACAGGGCTTCTGCTTCTCCAGCCCGGCTCATGCCGTGGAAAGGAGTCCCTGTGGCCATTGGGGGGACACATCCAAACCCCCAGTGGAGGGGCTGAGCTGCTGAAGCCGTGCCAGCATCACTTCCTTCTTTGGGAAACCACGTCATGCCAAGGTCGAAACTTGGCCGGTTTGCAAACAAGCACTGGGGCCACGGGGATTTCTTTACAAAGGCTGTTTTTCCAGGTGATTTATTTCCAGGTTTGGAGCGTTAGGACCATCCCATGTCTTGAGATTGTGGGGTTTTTTCACTGCCATCATGACAGTGAGAAA